ATCCCCTTGAAAGGGGACTTTGAGGAACAGCGTCTTCTTTTCCACGGTGGGTTTGGTGGGTTTTATTTCTCTTTCCATCATGTTCTTTTGGATGAATCTTTCAGGATACCCGTTCTCTCGAGGCAGGTCCTGGATTCTCTTGAGCTTGTAATTGGCCCGATGAGAATATATCGTAAGTATACGCATGCTCGCCACCTACTCTTCTGAATTTCCTGATCTATTAAATGATAATGACATTTTTACCCTGGCTCACTTAAAATTTTCCCCTGGTGTATTTATTATGTAAATTCTGGGATAACTGGAAACTGTAAGCGCTATATAATATCAGAAATAAGTAATTTTCGAAACCAGGCAACATTGCCTAGGAAAGTTAGCAAGCCTTCGCTGGTCTGAGAGAGCCATAGAAACGAGTTCCTTGTACAAAGCTTTGTCAAGAACATTCAATTTTACACGTTTAGGGAGTAGCTTCCGTCCGACAAGTTGGAAGCGTACGCTTGCAAATCCTAATTTTCTGCCGTTCGGTTGAGGACCATGGCTATTTGAATTGGATGGCATGTTAGCTTCTGGCTCAATTATACAGGTTGACAGTAACCGTTCCAATACCAGGAAACATGCGATTCCCAGGAAATAATTGTGGATATACTTGTTCCGAATATAGAAGGCCCTTTAGTCTGGACCCCAGTGCGAATAGCAAGGAACGTGTTTTGTCTTACAATAAAGCAGACTGGCTAACGTCATTTGTACAGACCAATTTCCTTAAAAACATTTGAAGCAGCCTTTTGCGTAGATTTTGAGGACCGCTATCAACGCTTATTAAACGCCACCTCGTTGACGTTTGGCTTTCTAACTGCATTATCCTCATGCCTAGCTCTGAAGAACATTCATCGCAGAACTGAATTAACTCTTTGAGGAAAACGTAGATCGCTGATTCCACCCTAGCGAACGCTGATTCGGACTTTCTTTCAAGGCCCGTATTCTCAACTTTTGTTTTCAGATTAAGGTAAAGTCCATTCGGAACCCGGGGTTATGGTAAAGGGAATAGCCTCGTTTATTAATTTCATCAACATCAGACCGGAAACTCCAATCGATCACGAGTTTGACTGGATACCTGAAGCATAGCTACCAATTTTACCAAACCTATCAGCAAGGATTCCGAGATGACACGAAAAGTCTATGAAATTAATACAGGTATCAGCAAATGCTTATCTCCGACAGCAAGGAACAACATATATCCTCTCGTCACTGGATGTCCTCTGAATTATTTTTTCTTATTCGGTTGCCGTTAGTTTATGACAGAGCTCAAATTATTAGTTTCTTCCGAGAAATAATTTCATGATTTCTTGTAAAACTGCACTTCTTCTCCTATATCGTTGATAAAATAATTAAATGATAAGATCATTAGAAATTCAGCCATTTCAATTTGATTTAGATTGCCCGTTCGGATGCTCCAGAATTCTATATTGCTCTGATGCAGATGTGCTGGACAGAACTGCCGTTACACCGTCCAACATTTCGAGAAATTGGTGATCGTTTTAATTTGCTGAACAAGAACACGTGAGAAAATAAGTTCTTATAAAACGTCTACTACTGATGCAAAAGTTTCGAGCCCTTACTTCCTGTTGATTATGGGATTTAACATTTTCCATTCTTGAAGTCGGGCATGTGCTTGGCAGTTCGAAGCAAACCGACCACACAGGTCTTCTGACTACAAGAGTTCGCTCATCTCCTGTGGCCAAATAGCTATAACATTTTAGCATTCAAGATGGTACCTAACAAAGTCGACATTTATTATTTATGTGCGGATGTAATTGGGAGTTTTTCGGTGATGAGCTAATCTTTATATTCAATATTTTGCAACCTACCATTTCATGAGCAATAGATAGTATTATTTAATGAATAATGAATTAATTAATGATAATTTAGGTTGTTCTGTCAGCTTTTTGTCTATGTAGCAATTTTTTTGGAGTGCACCGTAATGACAAAATAAGTCTACATTAAGCTTTCATGTGCAGTTGCAATCACCACA